CTTCATAATAACCTGCTTTTTAATCTTATGCAAGTCCTGAGTACTGGGACTAAAGATGTACACCAATACTTGGTTTGTTTTTGAAGCATGGCCCTGCTTCAGACATATGGCACACATCTCTTATCAAACAGGAAAATGTAGGTACTTTGTCAGATACTTCATTCAAATTTAGTTAAGAAGATAATGAAATGATTGGATGAAAGGAAAATGTCTGCCTGTCACAGCTTGGCCCTTGCTCAGCCTTTCCAGAGAAGACCCAAACTGTCATCAGTAACATTATGCCCTGGGGCGGGGACCCCACAGACTCACACTAGCTACCAAAAAATGAAGCTGGATTTCAGTCTGTTCCCCACATCATTCACCCTGGCCAGCTAGAGTCTGAGCAAATCTGAAGATTGCCGGAGCTGAGGCTACAGCCCCAGCAGGTAGAGCGCACACCTAGCAACACGCTGTGCACTCCTCAGCAGCACATCCAGTGGTTATGGTGCAGGGCTGCCATCCAGCACAATTGGTTCTAAGCTACAGAATGAGACACTGATGTATTAAATTTATTCTCTCTTTCTCTTTCCCCCACTGTGTGTGGGGGCCCACATGTAGAGGTCAAAGGACAACTTGGAGGAGTTGGCTCTCTTCTTCCTTCATTTGGGTCCTAGGATCTAACTGAAGTCACCTGGCTGTATACTAAGTGCCTGTATTTGAGCCATCCCACCTGCCCCAGGCCCTGTCTTGAAACCAACAACCTCTAATCCCACAAACCACGCAAACAAAATCCCAACAATAAAAGACAACTCCCCCCCCCAAAAAAAAAAAATTCAGAATCGGGGAGGCAGAGCCAGTCAGATTTCTGTGAGTTCTAGTCTAGATCCAGGTCAGCCAGGGCTACATCGGGAAACCCTGTCTCAAAACAAACAAACAGAGACTTGAGAGATGGCTCAGTGGTTAAGAGTACTGGCTGCTCTTGCAGAGGACCCAGCATGCATGTGGTAGTTCACAACCATCCGTAACTGCAGTTCCAGTGTATTCAGTGCCCTCTTCTGGCCTCCTTAGGCACTGCATGCACTGGTACAGAGACACATACAGGGAAAATACTTAACACATAAAAAAAAAATTAATCTTTTAAAAATTAGCTGTAGGGCTGGAGAGATGGCTCAGTGGTTAAGAACACTGGTTGCTCTTCTAAAGGACTGGAGTTTAATTCCCAGCACCCAAATGGCAGCTCACAATTGTTTCTAACTCCAAGATCTGACACCCTCACACATACAATGTACATGAAATAAAAATAAATAAACAAACAAATAAATAAATAAATTAGCTGTAAGATGCTAAGGTAACACTGCACAAAGAAACTTCATGTATCACACACAATCAGTCCACAGAGGGCAAGGCAGGAGGCTCCAGGTATCTCCCAGCAGAGTGCATGGGTGGGTGATGCTAGCTGGCTAACAAGTCCGCATTATATTCATTCAGTGATCAGTATGTGCTGGCAGTGAAACTTAAAGCAAACAGAAGCCTTGCTGCTGGAGCAGGAACAAGCACCCAAGAGCCTCTCCCTCACTACATACAGTACCAGAGAAGCCACCAAAAGCCACAGTTCATGGCAGCAGGGTAACAGTGAGCACACTGCAGTCACAAAGCCAGGAAGAGGGTGAAGTGCAAGATTTGCTGACAAGAGAACCAGGAAGTGCCCATTAGCCCAGAGCATTTATGGGATGATGCTGAGCAGAGGGCTGTACTGTCTCTGCCTGGTTAGAACATCACACATACACACAGCCACAAGTAGATGCTATGGGCACATAAAAAACACAAAAGAGGGTCCCTGTGCTGGAAATTAGTGCATTTTGACAAATTTATCTTCTGGCAGGGCCGGCCATGGTGTCTGCAAGAGCTGCAGGCATGCTCTGCTGAAGTCCATCCCCAAGGCCTGATGACGCAGCAGGAGCCCTCCCTGAAGCAGGAATAGAACAAGCTAACACTATATTTTCCATTCAGACCAAGTTGGGACAGTAAAATTTAGCCCTCATCAGAGTCCAGATGAAAATTCTGAGTCCCTCCACTCTGACCACAAGTAAACCCAAACTTGAGGTTGCTGCTGCTGCAGGATGGCCCTGGACCCTGCTCCATGCACACGATGGCCTCTTCCACACGCTCTTGCTGTTGGTGCTGCCTTGGGGAACTTTTGTATACTCTAAGATGGGCCTTGCTCATCATGAAGCCTACAGAACCCCGAAGGCCCTTCAGCATGGACCCTGCTGCCAGCCTAAAGGCAGCCCTTGTCTGAAGAGCCTCAGGTCAGAGGGCCATCTTAGGGTCCTAGGGGATGAGTGAATTCTGCAGTTCTCTGTTGGTGGCTTACTTTTAAGCATAGACACACTACACATTTGTCATGATGGATGACAAGATCACTTGCAGACAGCTTGGTGTGTCTGTCTATGTTGTAAGGAAATAATAAAAAGAGGGCTTATTTGTTCAGGCTGTGCTGGGTGCTTGGGAGGCAGAAGACAGCACCCTACATTTGGTTTGTAGCTCAGAACCTGAAAAACAATAACTGAGGGGCTGGAGAGATGACTCAGCAGTTAAGAGCACTGTCTGCTCTTCCAAAGTACCCGGGTTCAATTCCCAGCACCCACATGGCAGCTCACCATTGTCTATAACTCCTGTTCCTGGGGACCCGATCCTCTTACACATGCACACAAAACACCAATGTACATTAAAAAAAAAACAAACAAACAATAACTGAAACTCCATATCCCAGTGATAAGATCGGATAACAGGTTTGACCTTCAGGAGTACAAAGTGGGGTTGTCACTTCAGGTTATATATGTCTGGTTATGGCAGAGGAAAGAGCTGTTGCTTAATAGTACAGAAGGATCAGTTCTAGAACCTCTGGACTTGAGACTCTCAAATACCCCTGTAGGGGCTTCACTCCTAAGCCACACCCCAAGCCCCTCACTGGGGATTCTAGGCAGGGGCTCCTTACTAGGGTTTTCTAGGCAGGGCTCCATCCCTGAGCCACATCCCCAGGCCTTGTCATTCTGCTGGAGTCACATCTCCAGCTACAAGAAGTTTCTGAACAACTTTCTAAATAGATACATCTATGTGACTGGGGATACAGCTCAGTGCCATTAAGAGAGGCCCTGGCCCAGAACCCAAAACCAAAACAAAGCAAAAGACAGATTCATGTGTTTCCACTTTCTACACACAGTATTCCAGAAACACTCATCAGAACCTAACAATGAGATAACAGTTCTATGGAGGAAAATACAACTGAATGCAAATCCTATGACAGCATTCTGTTTTCAATGCACAATTCCTCTCCAGAATGAACCAAAGCCTTGTTTCCCTGAAACTACAGTCCTAAGCTGAGGAAGGCAGAAAGGAGTCTCAATGATCCAAGAGTGGGGATCAGCCAACAATGATGGCTGTCTCCTTTCTGATACGAGAGGGGGTAGGCTTAAGCATGCAGAGGGTGCAAAGGATGAACTCAACAATGATGCCTGCAGCAGCTGTGCATCCCTGAACTCTGACTTGACCTGGTTCAGTGACATTCATGCTATCAGCATTTTTTTCCATAGTCCCTGGAACAGCCTGGGTAAAAATGCTATTATGGGGGCTGGTGAGATGGTTCAGCCCCCATAATAGCTTAAGAGCTATCATAATGGTTTAAGAGCACTGTCTCCTCTTCCAAACAACACAGGTTCAATTCCCTGGCAATTCACATGGCAACTCACAACTGTCTGTAATGCTAATCCCAAGGGAATCTGACACCTTCACACTAATGTACATAAAATAAATAATTTGTAAAAAAAAAAAAAAAAAAAAAAAAAAAGCTATTATGGCTAGGTTTGGTGGTACACACTTGTGGTCCTAGCCCTAAAGAAGTTGAGGCAGGGGGATGGAAAATTCTAAACCTGTATAGATTGTACTGAGATGGTCTCAAAGACCAACAAACCAACAAACAAAAACCCTCGTGCACAGCTGGGATCTCATCTCAGTACTTGGAGGATTCTGAGAGTTTGAACCAGCCTATACCATCTGAGACCCTGTCTAAAAAGAGTCATAAAGACAGGCTAAGAGCACTGGTCACTATCAAAAGACCCAGCACCCACATGGTAATTCACAACTGGCTGCAAGTCCAGTTGCAAATCAGGGGCCTTCTTCTGGCCTCTGTAAGGCCCCTATGCACATGATGCACAGACACATACGCGGGCAGAATAAGCAAACCTATAAAATAGAACACTCAGAAGAAAAACAAAATGAAAACCCATAGCACGGCAGCTGCTGCTATCTTTAGTTGTGGATTAGGGTCCTTCACCTAAGCATTGAGGGCGTGGCTGCCTCTGGACCTCAGGAATCTCAAGCTTGAGGTTGCCCCCTTCAAACAGAGACCTGGAAATGCAAGCCTTCAGTGTGCTGCCAACATCACATGCAATGAAGTCATGGTCACTGAGCAATAACAACAGGGTAGCCCCAAAGTCACTTTATTAACAAACAGCATGAACACAGTGAGGTATCTGCTGACTTGTCTCCAGCTGCAACCCTTCGGCAGAAGCCAGGTATGCTGTAGCTAACAGCTTAGTGTCTAAACAAGAGGCTGCTGCCCCGGGGTGGGGGCCCTACTTCCTCAAGTGCTGCAGTGACTTCAGCTGCCCCAGGTAGACCCTGTCATGGATGACAGAAAAGCATTTGAAAGCCAAGACCTTGCTGGTCCCAGACTATTGGGTCCACCAGCATGGACCTCGTAGTGCAAGAGAAGCTGCTCAACTGTCAGTCGGCCCTGCATCCTAGTACCCGATCACACTGATTAAGAACAATCCTTACACTGAGCATGATGGTGCACGCCTGTAATCCCAGCACTCTAGGAGGCAAAGGTAGGTGGATCTCTGTGAGTTTGAAGCCAACCTGGTCAACAAAGCAAGTCCAGTACAGCCAAGCCTCCATAGAGAAAACTTGTCTTTAAAAACAAAACAAAACAAAAAGAACAATCCATACAAGGCCAGGAGTGGTGACTCATGCCTTTAATCCCAACACTCAGGAGACATCGGCAGACAGATCTCTGTGAGTTTGAGGGCAGCCTGGTTACAGAGCAAATTCCAGGACAGCCAGGGCTACACAGAAAAACCCTGTCTTGAGAAAAAACAAAACCATCTTTATACATTAAAGCAAATCACTAAGAGGCCAACCATGAAGTAGCCCAGCACAGCTTTCCGGAGAGGCTGGGCAGAGATGGGATGCCAGAACATGAGAAAGATCTAGGTGTGTCTTTCTCCTAAGGGAGCCTGAGTTTGTCACTGTCTTACAGACTTCCTGAGACCTCGGAGCACAGGTGGAACCATGGCTGACGAGGGTCAGGTGGCTGGAAGGTGGACATTCTCCACCCAAATGAGCTGACTGGTTTTCCAGTGAGAGGCATTCTTGAAGTCATGAGAAACAGAAACAGAGCCTTGACGTCCAGCAGGTGAGCTCTGGGTTCCACGTAGGGCTCAAGAGCCAAATAGTCTGGAAAAGTCAGAGGGTGAGATGGACATGAGGACAGGAAGTGGCTGCTGTAGAAACCTGGCACTCAGCTGCATGTAGTGATGCCTGCCAGCTGTCCCAGACCAAGGAGGAGGACCACACACGGAAGACCAGCCTGGGCTACATAGCAAGTGCTATTTCAAGCACACTGTTGAGAACTATTTCCCATGATCATTTCTACACTGAGCTTAAGCAGAACTGCTGGTGGGAGAGATGGCTCATTGAATCAAGGTGCCTGTTGCCAAACCTGATGGCCTGAATGTGATCCACAGGATCAGCAGAGTGGAAGGCGAGAACCAACTCCCGAAAAGTGTCCTCTGCCCTCCACAAGCACAATATGCAGCATGAGCACACCCCAAGCACACACATAAAATAATAATATAGTACTGCAGAAAACAAAAGCCTGTTGGCTGCACAAGGGGGCAATGCCTGTAATTTCAGGAAGCATGCTGAAACCACTGCCTGCCTGCCGGCGCGTAAATTCAGATCCATACCTCACACTATCTATAAAAACATCTCAGTGGTCAAGCTCACCTGTGTCCCAGGACCCACAAGCCCGAGACAGAGGTACCATAAGTTTGAGGGTTGCCTGGCCTACAGTCTGACTCTATCCCAAAAAAATCAAATCAAATCAAAGACAGCGGTCATACAACAAAAGCCACTGCAAATCGCACTTGCTGCCTCTAACAAGGCTTTTGAGGCAGGAACCAGCTGCCTACTGGATTGGAAGGTGAACTCAGCGGCAGGAGGGGGAGAGACAGGGCCAGCTGGGACCTGGAGACCACACTTCAACCTTGGCTGCAACCAGCCTGGCAGTGACCCAGCATCCTTGCCTCCTTAGTTTGGAAGCAGGGGTAGCCCTTGAGAGTCAACTAGGAGCTGTCAAGATGGCTTAGTGGGTGCCTGCTGCCAAGACTCAAAACCTGTCTGAGCCCCAGGACCCACATGATGGGAAGAGAGAACCTACTCCCACAAGCTGTCCTCTGATCCCCCTCCCCCACAGACACAAAATAAACAGAGTAGGACAGGAGCACCCAAGGTGGGACTCACACAATCATGCAGAGCATCATGAACACATTCCACAGTGCGATGAAGATCCGGAAGTACCTCAGACTTAGTAAGAAATCCCGGATGTTGTCTCCTGCAAAGCCAGAAAGTACTGCTCATGAGGCTGTCACCCTGCCTACGACCATCCACTGGGTAGCACCACTCTCCAAAGCTTCTGATTGGTACTGGAAAGGTCACATGACTCAAGTCTGTCCAATAAGAGTCCACCCTGGGACGTGGGTCCTAGGTACCAGGCCCAGGCTGGCTTGGTGGCAACTGCTTTTGTCTGCTGGGCCACCTAAGCAACCTCTGTAAATTGGTTTTTGAGAGCCGGTTTCACTATGGGCTAAGGCTAGCTCAGAACTGCCTCCATGCTGCTTGCTCAGCCTCCTGTCAATGCTCCATCATGACAACACTGGTCACCAAATGGGCCTCTCTGCCACGGCCCATCAACCTGTGCTTCCAGTAACAGCACCACCCTCCTGGCACCCATCTCCCTACACCCCCTTACCCCCGAACACCCTCGAGTCTCCCTGGGCTGATTCCCACAGGCAGAAACACCTTTTTTTTTACCCACACCCTGTCAGAGCAGCTAGCTCAGTGGCTGGCAATCTGGTGGGCATTCAAAAAAGCTGATGAGCAGGGCATGGTGGTGCACTCGTGCCATTCCAACATCTAGGAGGCAGAGGCAGGGGGATCAGGAGTTGAAGGCAAGCCATGGCTCTGCAATGCTATATCTCCACAACAAGAAGACAGGAAAGTGCAGGCTGCTAAGAGAGAACAGGCATCCCAGAATCAGACTGTGCAAGTGCAGAAGACGGGAAGACGCGCTTACCTGTGCTAGGTTCCCTCGATTCCTCCCCAAAGCCTTGAGTTTCCTTCTTTTTCCTATAAAGAACAGCAGATAACACCCACTTTCGGTGGAACATAAACACCACTGGGTTGCCTGGCCCTTGACACCCAGCTAGGAAGGCCATGAACTTCAGCTCTGCCTCCGACATGCTGTATGACCTGGGGCAGTGATACATTCCTCTCTGGGGCAGTATCAACCAGCCTAGTCCATCACAGCTTGGTGTGCAGCCACAGACAGGTGGCTCCAAAGGCCAGAAAAAGACATTCTTGAGGAGGGATGAGCCTGAGGCTCTTTGGAGACGCAAGCAGGACACCCCGGGGAACAGAGGGGTCAGGCATTTTGATTAATATTAATCTGTGAGTGAGAGAGGAGTGTGCCATGCTACAGCACTTGTATGAAGGTCAAAAGGACAACCCACAGGAGTTGATTTTTGTCTTCTACTATACAGGTTCCGTCAGGCCTGGCGACAAGCGCCTGTACCCAATCGACCACCCCGGGGCCTAGAGACAGATTTAAAGTCCCAGGGATGATGCAGAACTGTCAAAGCCTGGTAGGGCAGCATAGAGGCGTGGCTAAAGGGAGAACTAGAGGGGCGTGGGGTGGAGCCAAACCTAGGCGTGGGCGGGGCCTTGTGTGGGCGGGCCTAGCTGCCCGGCGACACCTCCCCAGCGCGGCCTACTCACAGTTTAAAGTTGAGCACAGCCCCTGCGTTCATCAGCAGCGTCCTGCGGAGGGACAGTTACTGTCACTAAGGGCCCCGCCCCGTCTGGCTGTCAGTCTCCAGCCTCTGACACCCCGCACTTTTATTACCCGAACAGCAGGATATCTCCGATCATCCTTACAGCGGACGCAGCTACCAGAACCGGAAACGGAAGCCTTGGGGATGGGCGGGAAGAGAAGCGCCAGCCTACAATCCTGAATCAGCATTGGTTGGTTCGGAGGGAGGGTGTGGTGTGATGTCACCCAGCGAGTTTGGGGAGCGCGCGCGCATGCGCAATGTTGCTGCAGAAGATATTTTCCTTGCTGTTGTTTCGGCTCTAGCGTCAGCTTGGCCGTAGGTTCGGCATTTACAGAAATCTCGCCCTTGACCTCTGAGCCGTCCCGGACGGACGCGGCAGATGACTGAATTCCAAAAGGGCCCTTGTTGGGTTCCCACGGATGTCTGCGATTCGGGCTCAGAGTACATAGAGTATGGGCCACGGTGTCCCCTGCCTGGTCAGGTTGTACCCCCACGGGCCTCCCAGTTCTGACTCGTGTGATATGAGGGTCCTGATCGGACAGACCTTACAGAACATGAGACCTGGGTTTAAGATCTACAGAGATCCTAACTTGTCGGCCCTCCCGAAGGAGGAGGGTCCTACCTCAGTGGACTCTATGGGATACTAGAGTCTGGGCTGGAATCCGCAGAAGAGGAGGTTTTTTACTTGTAGAACCTCTTGGAGAGACAAGACCAAATAGTACATGACGGTTTGGGTTGAAGAACCCTTGTGGGAAGCGGGATTCTGACTTTCACATTCTCTTGGAGAGACGGCTTCCTCACGAATGGAACATGAAATTCTTGGCTGAGGTCTGCCGAGGGCGCGGATCCTGATTGAATGGGATCTTGGGGAAAAATAGGGACCCTGATTAGGCTAGTTCCACGGAGAAGGGTCAATGTCTTAACTAAGCAACTTCACAAGGACAGGAGTCCCACTTGGGTGCGCTGGGTTCAGGGGCCAGACCCCCTTCTTGGCTGAGTTGAATCAAGTTCTGGCGTCCCTGCAACCGGGCGCCTTGAGCTCTGAGACGCTGGGCGGGCCACATCGCCCCTCCTCTCCCGGGGGCCCGGGCGGGGGCGGTGCCTGGCAGCGGGGCTGGCTCAGTGGCTGGGGCGCAGTCGCCGGGCTGCCGGGCGCACGGGGCCAGGGCCCGGGGAGGCACCCGCCGACGCCATGGACCTAATATCGGCGTTGAGCCTGAGCGAGCTAGCGCTCAGCTTCTCGCGGGTGCCGCTCTTCCCTGTTTTCGACCTCAGCTACTTTATCGTCTCCATCATCTACCTGAAGTACGAGCCAGGTGAGTCGGGGGCTGTAGGCGGTCCCACGAGAGAAGTTACCTAAGCCTTGAGGACGGTGGCTAGGAGGGGGAGGCAGGGTAGATCCTGGGGCTAGATGAGGAAGAAGCAGAGACTGAGATCGTGGGATGCTCCCACGCGCGCACAAGTGGAGGAGGGAGCCTTGGGGAAGAGGGAGCTGTGGAAAGGGGGCTGTAATGGGGTGGGAGGGAAGGAGAGAAGCGCACTTGGTTACTGTAGGGAGGACAGGTGGTGCGGGGTTGGGGGCGGGGAAGAAGCCAGAAGTCCGGTTAGAGCAAGGCTCCGTGAACTTGATCCTGGACAAGGGACACTGATGGTGGCGAAGGTTGCAAGCAAGGGTCTGCCCTGCCTGGGTGAGGGTCAGATGTTCTGGGCGTCAGCTGCCGTGACCTCCCTTCGCGCCCTTGGACTGACTGCCGAGTGACTATATAAGGGCTGGCCATTCTGGGGGCTGCGATCAGGTTCGGGGAAAATGACACCCATGCCCTCTCTGCACTTCATCTTTTGGCAGCCTCTTCTTGCGTCCCCTCCCGCTTGCCGGCTGGGTCAGCTCTGGCCAGGGATCCTTCCCATTTAGGAAGCAGAAGCGGTTCCAGGACAGGGCAACTTCGGGTCAGCCTGCTCTTAAGAGTCACGGGAGAAGAGACTCTACTTCTTTGATTAAAAAAAAATAATAATTATTTGATTTATTTGTGTGTTGTGGAGGTCAGAGGACGGTGTCTCCGTTCACTATGTGGGTACCCCGATTGGACTCTTGGTGAAGATTCCTTGAGAAGCTCCTTTACCGGCGGAGCCATCTTGCTGCTACCCTACCTCTCCTCCAAACCTTCTGCTTTAATAAAGACAAATGTAGCTCACACCTATGACCCCAGAACTCAGACGTAGAGACAGGAGGATAGCAAACTAATTCCAATACAGCCAGGGCTACATGGTCAGTTCTTGGCCAATTTGGCTACAGACTACATAAAAAATAAATTAATTAATTAGTTAATAAATCATTTAATTAAATACCTCCCCGAGTGTTCTATTTTTGTACAAGTTCAGCATAAGCAAGTGTGTTTGTCTCCTGTAGGTTTAGTTATTCTACTGAACTAGAGTTTGAGAGATAGAATTTCCTTCACAGAAAGTTAGGACTCTTCCCCGGGTGGATATGTAATTTAATGATTTTTGAGGTGATACAAATAGCCTGTTTACTTAAAAATGGGGCCCCTTCAAAAAGATGGCTTAGAAAAGTGTTTCTGTTACTCTCAAGTGGACATGTTTCCAGAGCTTTCTTGGATGATGTCGTACACGTGTCCTTAAAAGCATAAATACATGCTCTTCTGCAAATGGGATTGGTGTGACTTGTCAGGCATCTGTGTTTTTCTTCCCTGTGCACAATCGCCAAGGCTTTGCAAGGTGAAGTTCTCGGTTGTGCTTTTGTTTGGAGAAACTGGCTTTCCTGTTTGGGGAAAAATTCCTGGTGGCTTCTGTGGAGCTCAGGACACCTCCCCCCACCCCCAAGATCCACCGTGAGGAGGTGGGAACTCCTGGAATGGGCTTAATTCAGAAGTATGCTGAAAACGGGTATTCAGCATTTAAAAAAATTTTACATTTATTTACATGTATGTCTGTGAGTATCAGATCTTGGAGTTACAGACAGTCATGAGCTGCCATATGGATGTTGGGAATTAAACTAGGGTCCTCTGGAAGAGCAGCCAGTGCTCTTAACCACTGAGCCCTCTCTCCAGCCCCAGCATTTTTATTTTTAATTCTACTCATTATTCACTGTGTGTGGAGGGGGGGTACACCAGGACGTGCCTGTGGAGGGCACAGGGCAACTTGACAGTTGTTCTCCTCCTATGTGGGACTTGGGGATTGAACTCAAGTACCTTTATCCAAAGAGCCACTCTCTGCACCACTTAATTTTATTTGTGTTTAAAATATTTTCAGTTATTATCATCATTGTCATCGTGTGTGTGTGTGTGTGTGTGTGTGTGTGTATGTGTGTGTGCATATGTGCCACAGAGTGCATGTAGGGGACAGAGGATGTGTGTGTGTACATATTTGTGCCACAGAGTGCATGCAGAGGACAGAGGACAACTTTGTGGTGTCAGCTCTCTTCTTCTATCTTTGCATGGATTCTGAGGCTGAAACTCAGATCACCAGGCAGCATCACCGGGCTGCAAGTGCTGGTACTTCTCAACCATTTTGCCAACCACTATTTGAAACAAAACCAAGACAAACCAGGGCCCTGCTGTATAGCCCAGGCTAGCCTCCCTGTCCTTGAGTCCTAGATGTGGTCCATGCCCATTCTTGTCTAAATATTTCTCCAGGGGTTCACAATAAAGCATCTGTGCTGCAAGTGTAGGAGACAGAGTAGTCCAGAAGGTTTTGGTTTTATGCTATAGAACTTCACTTGTTTCTCAACCCTAGCTGCATATCAGATTTCCTGCGGTATTTTAAAAGTCTATTTATACCTGGGCTTGGTGGTGTAGGCCTTTAATGCCAGTACTTGAAAGGCAAGGCAGGTGGATCTCTGTGAGTTCAAGGCCAGCCTGGTCTACAGAGTGAGTCCAGGACAGCAAAGGCTATACAGAGAAACTCTGTCTCGAAAAAACAAAACAAAAAAGTAATCCATCTTGTTTATTTACTGTGTGTGTAAAGTGCCACCGTAGCACCTATGTGGAAGTCAGTGGCTGCAGGCACCAGGTCTCTCCTTCCATTGCATGGGTCCCAGGGATTGAATTCAGGCTGTCAGGCCTGGCAGCAAGTGTTATTACCTGGTAAGCCGTATTACTGGCCCTCAAAAAAAAAATTTAAAGAGATAGCAATGTGGTTAGAGCCCCTGCCTAGAATCCCTCAGCATGGGCTAGAGGCATGGCTCAGCCTTAGAGTGACAACCTAGAGCAAGTGCAGCTGGTTGTTACAGTTTTTACTGAGCATACAGGAGACCTTGCATTCCATCCCCAGGCCCCAAACGAATCAAATTTAATTTAACTTAATCAGACTAGTTTAATCAGAGTATCTCCACACTTGCATTTCAAGCCCATTTCCCTGATGTTTTCTGTATGGCATCTGCCTGACATAATTCCTTCAAAATTTGGGGACCAGGAAGTAGAGGGGTGAAGTAAATAAATATGCAGTGAGCCTGCAAGTCTCACAGGACTCATACCCAGGTTCCTGTGACAGACAGAATCATGGGTCAGGCTTTGAGAACTACTCACTTCACACTCCCCTTAGGAAGCTAAGGTGGCTGCTGAGCTGCCAGGCATACATACAAGACACTGAGCCAGAGTTAGTGCAGGCCAGCCTGCACTACAAACCAAACCTCTTTCTCAGCTAAAGATGGTGGAGTACAGCTAGGTGTGGTGGCACACACCTGTAATCCCAGCACTCAGGAGTCAGGGGCAGGCAGATTTCTGTGAGTTCCAGGACAGCCTGGTCTACAGAGTGAGAGCCTGTGTCAACCTCCCCTCCAGAAATAAAAATTAATAAAATGAAAGAGATGGTGAAGTATTCAGGAGGCAGACACTTGGACACCTGGCTGTGTCCAAGCTGGCTGCTGGCCCCGTGTGCACAGACATAAATGTGCACAATCCCCTGTATATACCATGTGCCCCCCCAACTGTGCGCCATTCAAACATGCATGCTCAACACACACACATAAACATGAAAAGAAGGGACAGATGAGGGTATCTGAGATGGAAGCCCATCGGCCTGTATTATCTCAAACCATCAAACTGATCCCATCGCCTCCGTGCATTTCCTCTTGCCTGTCTGTGACATGGCCTGAAGGGGAAAATGAGATGTTGTGCTCTGCTGACTACTGG